GCAGGCCCCAGCCGTGGGCTTGGCTTTCCAATGACTCTGGCAGTCAGCGGCCACCAAGTGGCTCCATATCAGCTGAGAAGCCTTCTCCCTTGCACAGACCGCACGCGCAGCCCCGCTGCCCTCCCTCAGAGCAGCTGCAGCTCGACAGGCGCCAGCCCACGCCGCCGGCACGGAGCGGCAGGGCCACAATGACCATGTGTGTGCGCTCACCCGTGAACGGCAGCCAGGGCATGGGAATCCCGCGCTCCCAGCCTCTTGCTGACAAAACGCCTGGGGCTGGGCAGGCGGGCGGGCGCTGTTCCCTTCGGAGTGATGGATAGTGCCGGCTTTGCGGCCTCTCCTTTAATTAGCACTTTCAAGAAAGCTAAAGGCAGAGGCAGGGGGGATTAATCCAGGCTGATTAGCTGGTGCTGGGTTGCACTGTGCTGTGTGTGTGTCAGAGGAGGGCAGGCATGCAGAGACATGCAGGAACCCCACGGACATTGCTGGGCCTGAGTCTCTGCTCTCGCACCAGTGTGGATCTGGATCTGTTCCACCACAGGATCCCCACCAGTTGTGAAGCTGCCCGGTCCTTCCCCTGGGCCTCAGCAGGGCCAGGACTTCGTATTCGAGCCCTGTGAGCCTGGCTGCCCAGCATCTGGGGCCCCGCTGGATTCAGTCAATGTGGGTTGGAGCCAGCTGCTTTTGTCACCCTTTGCCGCAGCTCTGAGATCAGGCCGGGTTTGTCTAGAGCCACCAGTCATGTTTTGCCCAGGCACCCACCTGTTGCCAAGCCCAGGCATTACTCACCAAGGCTGAATTTGTACAAGTGACTCAGCTCTGTGGTCTGCAGCCACCCACCTCCCTGCCGGGCTCCGTTCTGATGATGCAGCAAACCCCCAGACAGCGCTGCCACCTCTACGCTGGGTGACATGGGGATGGGGGAAAGCAGGCATGGGAGCAGCTGGTATCATAGGCCTCAGGGGCTCCCAGGGACTGCTGCAGCTACGAAGTCAGTGACCCCAGTGTCCCTGGCTACTTCCTCTCTCCTGGCCTTTCCCATGGGAGGAGGGCAAGGGAGATCCACCAGCTCTTGCTTTCACTGGGTGGGTGGGGGACTTAGGTGCAGAGAGGGACACATATGTCTATGTGTCTGGGTGAAAAGATCAGCGTATCAGCTGGGTCTCTGTCATAAGGTCACTGCTGAACTCCCAGGTGGCTCTGCAGGGGTGAATGTCACCCTTTCTGGACTGTAGCAGGAAGGTGGGGGAGTCCTGACTCATGCCTGTAGATGAGTTACAGGGAAGATGGCTGTGTGAATAGTCAGAAATGATCTGAGCCCTAGCTGGAGTTTGGGGCAGGAGTTCTACCACTGGCTTGGTCCCTAGCCCTCTGTGTGATGTCCCTGCTCCTCCCCGTGCCTCAGTTTCCCCAGCTGTAAGAGGGGGGTGGTGATACTGACCCTCTTTGCAGAGCTCTTGGGAACAGGCTGCTTTTTACACTGTGTTTGTCCTAGGCAGTCAGCAGTGCAGATGTTTCCATGACATAGGCCTTGCCTCTCACCACCACTAATGGGGATGTCTCTTTCCACCAGGTACGGTGAGAAGGGCAAAGCCATCAGAATCGAGAAGGTGATCTACACTGGGAAGGAAGGAAAGAGTTCACGGGGCTGCCCTATCGCCAAGTGGGTAAGTGCTGGCCCCCCAGCTCCAGGGAAGGAAAAGGGGGTTGTGTTTTATGTCATAACGCACAGCAAGAGTGACTCCGAGCACCTCCGTTGTCTTAGCACCGCCTCCATCTGCATCTGCAAGTTAGAGCCCAGGTTCACCAATGCGGTGGTGGTAGGCACAGGAGGGAGGAAGGGAAGGAAGAAAGGAAGGGAAGGATGGATAGCAGTAAAACATCCAAGCGATGTTTGTTGTCACCTCCCCAGCTGTTTATGCCCCACTCATCACCTGGGCATATGATCGTCTCTCTCTCCTCTCCTTGGCACTAAGCACCATCCTCTTGCTTTCTCTCCCTGCAGTGAACAGGCCTGCTGGCCACAGATTAGTCCTGTTGCATTTTCCACCAACAACTTTGAAAGCCCGAAGAACCCTGTATTGGAAATGCAACCTCTTCCTAGCTCCCCACTGTGCTCTTTGATGGGCACCTCCAATTCCAGGGGTATCAGGGCAGGCAGGAGCCAGGGGTCAGCTAGGGAGCTCCAGCCAAAAGGAGGGGCCTTGGTTGTTTTCTTGTGTGTCTGGTGGGCAAGGTGCATTTATACAGGAGCAATTTCTCGCCCAATCAGGTCACTGGAAGTGCTCAGGGGAGTCTTTTCCGGGCCGGCCAGACAGGGCTTGAGAGGAGCCGTGATACTAGGTTTTCCTCCCTCTTGCAAAGTTCAAGCAGGCCAGTCTTCCTTGGAGATAGAGGGGCCCCCTATGGTTCCCTTGGCTTAGACCTTCCTAGCTGTGAGGAGAACTAGGCCCTTCTTGTAACTAGCCTGTGTGTGGTAAATTGATGTAAGGCAGAATATTGCTCCCAGAGGGTTCATGCCCAGAGCCAAAGTGCTCTAAAGCTGGCAGCGGCTCAGGCCAGGATTTCTCTCTGTATTGAACGAGGCTCAGAGTGTTCCCATCTGAGCAGTATCCAGTGCAGGGAGAGCAAAGCCAGGCCGGGGGACACGTAGCACTGGGGAGGGGGTCCTGGTACAGAGAAGGAAGGAGTGGAAGCACCTCAGACTAAGAAGAAAGATGGCTTTAGCTCTACGTTCCTGGAAATGATACGGGGCCAGAGCAGGATCTTGGGTGCCCCAGTGAATGTCTCTGCAGTCAGCGCTGCTCCTGAGATCCTAAGATCAGCAACTGGCCCCATAGTCTTCAGACAAAAGACCTCCATCTCCTCTCATGTGCACATGGACAAATCAGGAGCTGTCCCAGGGAAAGCACCTGGAGATGCTCCAGGAGTAAGCGAGCTCAGATGCAGCCCCTGGCTTGGCCATGTCTTCCTCAGCCTTCTCGTGGCAGCTCCAGGGCCAAGCCTGTGTCTCTGGGTTCCCTGGAGCACCTACTATCTAGGAGCTACCAGGAGGCCTGGTCACCTCAAAACGGGTTGCTTATCAATCTGTTTATAAGAGGCAGCACTGGGGCTGTGTCTGACACTGTCCTGGGAGAGACAAAGCCGAGGCAAGGGCGTATTCCTGGAAGGGCCTAGCAGAGCTCCCCAGAACCATTGGCAGGGCTGGCCTCAGCCTGCTGTGAGAAGCCTGCTGTGTGCTGATTAAGGGGCTGTGGCCAACGGGGGCTCTGGAGCATCAGGTGGGAGATAACACTTGCCTGCCAGGGATCAAACTGTGTAGGGCCCCTGGGGTGGGGGTATAACGGCCGGCACAGCCTTTCCACCGTTGCTCAGTGCTGCTGGCTGTGGTGGGCTAACATGGGCTGGCAGCAGAGAAGATAAGGGCTGAGGCCGGTGCTACAGGCCAGGCTGGGATAATGTCTGTTTTGCAGCTGGTTTGCAGAGGGGCTGGTGGGCCAGGAGAAGGGCTTCCCATGTGAGGCTTCGGCACATGGAGCGCACAAGCTCTCCCCAGCTGCCTCCAACGGAGACCGTCCTCGCTGTACATCTGAGGGATGGACCTACTGTGTTGGGCACTGTGCCGCCACGGAGGTGGATTAGAGATTCAGCTGCTCCTGTGAATCTCTCAGTGTGCGAGTCACCCAAGGTCCGTGGGCGACACTAGACTGTGGCACTGTCGGAGCTCTCCGTGTGAGGACCCACATGCCCGTCCCTGCACCGGGGCTGACTCAGTTGAAGCAGGCAGGTTCTTTTTATTAAAGCCACTTGAGTGCACTGGAATCCTGGTTGTCCGGTCCTTGACCCCTGCCACTGTTATGGGATGAGGAGGTTCTTCCCTTGAATGATGGTGTGTGAGCAGATGCCTCTTGAGCAGGTGTGTGTGTGTTAGAGGTGGGCTTGGATCGAGCCCTCCACTGTTCAGAGGTAAAGGCCTAGACATGAGACCCCAGTGCCGGCAGATGCCAGCCAAAACGCAAAGGTTTTTCCTTCCCCTGCCATTCGCCTGCCAGGACTCCATCAGCTCCCTCTTGCTAAGCAGAGCAAGGCTGGGAGCTCTTCCATGCCCCATCAGCAAGTTCCTGTCAGATCAGAGCTTCTGACCATGTGCGTGTGTGTGTTGGGGACCAGTGCAGCCAAGTAGGTTGCCTTTACAGACAGGATTTTGAATCAGGGTTGTCACATCTGTGCTGATGCTGGGCTGGGGGGGGAGACGGCACGTAGGAAAGCAGTGTGATAGAGACCATGGGTGGGTGTGAAAAGCAGCCGGCGAGAGGAATCCCCCAGGCCACCACAGCCGGAGGCTGAGAGGGAGGCAAGTGCGCAAGCCGCAGGATGTGAGAGCAGCCGCTTGCGGGAGTGGACGGGCAGATGAGGAAGTGAGAGGCCGCGGCTGGGCTCTGGGGGCGGGAAGCGGGGGTGGCACAGTCACTTTGAGCCTCTGCGACACCAGGGAAATTCTGCAGAATTTCCCCCTTTTGCTGAGCCCGGGGAGGCTCTGCAGCTGTCTCCGCCCCCTGCAGCAAGGGTCTGGCATGCGCAGGGAAAACCCTGGTGCGGCTACTGTTGGCGGGAGCTTTGTCAGCGATCTCCACAAGGCTGGGAGCAAAACTTGGTGGTTAAAAGGCCAGTGGCCCGTCTAAGGTTGTCGGCAGGTGTGCAGCTGAGCCCCAGGGCAACAGCAACAGGAGACATCAGCCAAGTGTCTTTAGAGTGGCTGCGCTGCCTTGCCCAGGGGTATGCGATTGCTACCAGAGATCAAACCTGGCATGTTTGGAGCTTCAGCCTCAGTCAGCCAAACCTTCAGGCAGGCCCACCGACTTGCGTGCATGGCCCAGCCACCTCTCAAGAGGACAGGGCCTTGTGCTGAGTGAGACTGGGTCAGATCCCATGGTTCAGTCTGGACATAGAGAGCGGTAGTTAGTGAACAGTGTAAGGTAGAAGAGATACACCTTCTAGACCAACTAAACGAGACGTGTATAAGTGTTCATCAGCTGGAGCTCACTTCATCGGTTGCTGTGAAAAGACATGCACAGAGCAGTCTGTCAAATAGCTGGTAAGGCGCATCTCTCCCCAGCCTTCAGGCTGGGTGTTGCCATCTTGGTTGCTCTCTGGGAAGTCAGCTGAAGGATTTTGCCCAAGCGAGGGAGTCCAGGCCTTGGTCTCCCATTGGTTGACATGGAGGAAGGGTGCACTTTCTCTCGTGTATGGAGCCAGGCCCCAAAGTCTTTAGTCAGCTCTTACTCTGGCAAAACCCTGGTAGGAATTTGAAGGACACGGAGGACCTCAGAGCCTGGGTCCACAAAGTGTCTTAGAGATGAAAGAGAGATGAAGATCAGTTGGGGCCACGTGGCAAAGAAGGGCTAGTTGTGGGGCATGCACCCCGAGAATCTGGGGAGGGGCCTGACTTGCAGAAGTGTTCGAGCATGTGGACCTCACTGGCATGTCTTGGGCTGGGCCTCCAAGTCTTTGTTGTGGTCTTATCAGGGGGGTCATTCTAAAGCATTCATAGGATTGAGGAGAAGACCAATTGAGCTCGCGCTCCTTGGGGCTAGGGAGAACTTCCCTGCCTCCATCAGGGGGAGGGTGCTCAATGGACCGATCACCAGCAGAGTGGGGACATCATAAGATGTATGATGTGCTGCCAGTGCATGGAGGCGACTGATACAGGCATGGAGGTGGGGAAGTCAATCTCCATGACCCAGTCAGTCTAGAGCCTGCTGATTTACTGTGCAGAGACTTGTGGAGAGCATGGGAAGGTGCTGTGGTGTAGGGGCTGCAGGGCAGGCTCCCAAAGGTCTGTTCCCAGCTGTCACTGGCCCACTGTGTTGCCTCCATGCCCCTGTGTCCTGTCTGCCTGGACTGCAAACCTGTTGGGCCAGGCCCTAATCCCAGTGGTGACTCAAAGGGGACCGTAAGGCAGATACTGTGACAGCAAGTCACTGCTGAAGGGAACTGGTGACCATGATAAGGGCCGAGAGCTTCTCATGGCCACAACTAGCAAAAGCAGGGAGGGAAGCATGTGTCCATGGCCTGCTCGTTTCCAGGCATCTGCTGCAAATGGGACTTCCTAGGGTGACTGAATTGGCCTGCTGTTTTCCAGGTGATCAGGAGGCACAACCAAGAGGAGAAGCTGCTGTGCTTGGTCCGGCACCGGGCTGGTCACCACTGCCAGAATGCTGTCATCATCATCCTCATCCTGGCCTGGGAAGGCATCCCCCGCACCCTGGGTGACACACTCTACCAGGAGCTCACCGACACACTCACCAAGTACGGGAACCCCACGACCCGCCGCTGCGGCCTGAATGACGAGTAAGTGTCACTTTGCCTCAGCTGCAGAGGCTGCCCTTTTATGCCGTGCAAAGCAGCTTCAAGGGGGGTGGTTTTTGGGGAGGTAATCGGAGACAGCTGTCCCATGAGAAGCCATCTTCAGGGCCAGGAAATCAAACCAAGGCCCTTGCTGCAACCGATGGCACTTTGTGCTGACAGGAGCCCTTTTATAAGGGAAGATGGGGGCTGTGGAAAGGCTGAGAGATCCTGTGCCCTGCATGGTAGTTGGGTGGTGCTTACACAGGTGCAGGTGGACAGTTTGAATCCCAGGAATGGTAGATGTCTGTGAGGAAAGGCCTGTGCGATCCCCCCTGTAGAGCCAAATCAGTGGGATACTCTGCTCCAGCTTCTCAGTATCCCCCTGCCCTGCCCAGCCCAGCTCCACCTTTTGACTGGGGAAGGCTGGTTGCTAGGTCCATGGGCGCCATGTGGCGTGCGAGGAAGCTGGCCCCATAGCCAGTGAGTGAGAGGGTCTGCCCTTGGCTTTCTGTTGCAGTCGAACCTGCGCCTGTCAAGGCAAGGACCCCAATACCTGCGGTGCTTCTTTTTCCTTTGGCTGTTCCTGGAGCATGTATTTCAACGGATGCAAATATGCTCGAAGCAAAACTCCCAGGAAGTTCCGGCTGGTGGGAGACAATCCCAAAGAGGTTTGTGCCTTGGCTGGGCGTGGCGGGTCTGTGGAGTGTGGATCCCAGTTGTGCAGATGGAAGGACATGAAAAGTAGTCCTGCTAAAATGCTCTACCGCACTCCTGGCATGACCTTCCTGTTCAGTGCACTAGGGAAAATCTTGGCCGCAGCGAGGACAGTAGCAGAACGCTGGTTGGCTTAGCTGGAGCCAGGAGGGCGCAATGGTGCAGCCTGGTTCTCCACTGTCACCTGTATGCCTCTGGGTTAGCTCAGATGAGGCCGCAGAGTGTGGAGAAGGGAGCTGATACAAGAGGCAGAACAGCTGGAAGCAGGTAGCAGCTGCCTTTTGTCTGTGTCTACAGATGCTCAGACATGATGAAACCCTGGGGCCTGCCTCACGAGAGGCGCCATTGCTTGGAGCCTTTGACTCGACTTTGGGACTCTGCCTAATAGAGTTATAGAGCGGTGGGGCTGGAAGGGATCTCCAGAGGTCATCTAGTCCAGCCCCTGGCCTGAAGCAGAACTGCTCCTGTCCAAACCGATAGATATGTGTGAGCTCAACCCCAGAAATCCTGGTGTGAAAGGCTCTGGCTTGTGCCACGTGTGAAATGACCTGTGTGCTCTTTCCCAGGCAGAAAGTCTCTGCCCTCCTGGGGTCCCGATGGGCACGGGACACTGGAGGATACCCACTCTCTGTCACTGTTCTCCTTTCC